ATATCATAAAATCATCAATTTTCACATACTATCATAAGATCTTCTCCATGGGATTTACTTCCTCTGAAAACTCCCTGGAGGGTCAGATATGGGTCAGTTCTGACTCAACAGCACACATCACAAACTCAAGATCAGAGGAAGACTCATCAACAACTGTTATATAGATGACACAACTTCTCTTGAAGATCAGGATTTTAAATACTTGCTACAAAGGATCAAAGACCTTTGTTACACCTCAACATTAACAAAAACCCTCACCACCCTGCCACAGTAAGTATCATGACAAACGGAAAAAAGATACAAACTGTCAATGCTTCTTCACCTTATTTGGACCCATAATCAACACCCTTGTACCAAGAGTCAGGAAATCAAAGAATGATGTCACGGATCACTCCAGAGTGCTGAAGAGCAAAGATACCAGTCCGAAGACTAAGGTGCACCTAATCCAAATCAATTGCTTGCTATGCATCGCAGAAATTAGGGCAATGATTAAGATGGCAGATAAACTGTTATCTTTTGAGCTGTGGCACTAAAGAAGAGTGAGTATTCCATGGACTGCGAAAAGGACCTACAAATATATCTTGGAAAAGGTGTAGTCAGGGTCCCCCTTGAAGGCAAAGTTAGTGAAACTTTGTCTCATATATTTTGGATCTGTTGTTAGGAGGGGTCATTCCTTGGAAAAGGACACCATGTTTGGAAAGGAGGAGGCTGAGCAAATGAGAAGACCCTCAGCGAGATGGTTTGACACAATGACTACGATAGTGGGCTCGAGGGTGTCAGATATTGAGGAAGGCACAAGATAGGAAGAGTTCAGATTCACTGTTTATAGGGTCTCTAAAAAGTAGCAGTATGAAGATCCAAGATGGCGGCAGAGGCAGAGACAGTGTGGTGAGCTGCGGGAGCAGCGAACCACTTAAAGCAGGGCCATTATGGCCTTCCAGACTTTGGCTTACTGATAATTGAACACTTAAACAGTTGATGATTGGCCCTCAATGAAGATCGAGGCTCAACAACAGGAATTCAAGGCTTCCCAAGGAGAAATGGGTGAGTCTCGTGGCTCCCAACCCCATCCCCTGCAGAGCCCGCGCAGCATCGCACAGCAGCTGCAGCTCCATGAGGCTTCCACAGCTGGAACAAATGGATTCCCTCACCCAGGATGGATGCTGGGCATTGGCCCTCCTCAAGACTGGTTCAGCGAAGCCACCACACTGCCGCAAGGTGGACTCAGTCTGGAGAGAATTCTTGGAGCCAGGATGGCGGTTGTGGGGGAAGCGGGCACCCTCTGGCTGCCCGCACAAGAGGGGCCAAGCACCCGCCAAGCGCCCGTGCAGCGGGGTGGGGGTGGGGGGGCGCGCCCCCAACAGCCGCCTGCGCTGGGGCGGCCACGCGCCCCGCTGGCTACCTGCGTAGGAGGTGGGGGATGGGATGCATGCCTGCTATCTGCAGGTTTGGGTTTCCTTGGACAGGCCAAAGAAGATGATTACCTATGCAATGGATTGCTGAAAGTCACTGTGAGTCTGATGACCTTAACAGTATGCACAAGAGGACTGACATCCTAAATGCACCACATATTTTGTTCTGTTGATAGCTTCTGCCAAAAGATGGTTAGACCTGGGGGGAGTCTGCTCACAATTCTCAGGTTCCCTTTATCATATATAAAGGGGGAGGGCAGTGACACCTATTTCAAAATATAGTATGACCACTTACAGGGGGGTAAAAGTGGCAGTGCTGGAATTGGAAACACTATCCCTGACCACAGAGTCCTCAGTCAAGCGAAGGGACCAGACTGGGGTAGGGGCAATTGGAGGGGGAGTATACCAGCCAGCTCCTGGGCGGGTTTTGCCCTGCTCGGGATGGGCTGCCCTCAGTCCCCGGCTCGGGGTGAGCTGTCGCGGCCCTCAGGATGAGCTCCTCAGTCCCCAGATTGTGCCATCTGACCCCTGGGTGGGGAAGGAGGGGGAAAAAAAAAAGAATGCCTAGGGTATCCAGAGAATGTTACCTAGGCCACCTTCTGCCACCCTCCCCCCCAGGAAACCTGAAAGCAACACCCTCAAAGCCCTTCTATTTGTAACTCACAAGTTTGTTCTCTCTAGGTTTGCTCCCTTTCCTATAGGTAACCTTAACTCTGAGTTTTACTCCAGAATTGACCCTGAACCCAATGCCAGTGACAAAAAGGAAATACAACTGACAGCTAAGGAAGCAAAGGAGGATGGATGGAGCCTCTGGGTTCAACCAGCCATCCCCACTGGACCCACCTGGGAAAACACTTTGTAGTCCAGAGGGGAGCAAATGACAGGAAAATATCTTCTAACAGAGCAAGAAGGCAAGCAGCTGTAACCCAAGACCACCAGTAAGGTGCTAAAGCATCCTCCCTCCCCCCTTTACATCTACGGCCCTGTTCAGCATGAAGAAGCCAGAGAGTCGGCATCCAATTCCCAAATCAATAAGACAGTTGGTTTAATTACTATTGGAAAATGCTTGTCATTCCTCTGTAGCATCTGGTCCCCACTGGACCCTCATTATTTCCTTCATCTGCTCCCCCCACTGACCAAGCTGTGCAGCTCTGCAACTGCATCCTGGCCCATCCTCATCCTTCTGCCCCCAACCTCCTCACCTCCTTGTACCCCCAATATATTTTTCCCAATTAAAAAAAAAATTAGAAAAGTAAAAAAAAAAAAGTGGCAGTCTACTTGAGAGAATTTAACAACATTAGCATGAAATGAAAGAATATGCTCAAATTGCATGATCTTAAGAAGTCATGTTACTTCAGACTTCTCCCCTTGGGGGGGGGGCCGGGGAATAAAGATAGCTGCTAACAAAGAAAACACTTCATGGGATTTTATTCCTTGGTTTGCAGGTTTTGCTGATATTATGCCTTTGAGTCGCCCAAGACTCCTATCGATCCTATGTACAATAGCTCTAAACCCTGCCATATCCTGAGCCAGTCTCACTGTCTCCAACACACTTGCCCTCATTACCACAGTCACTTTGTTACTAGTTCATCCATCTCATCCAGGATCATCCTCTCTTTCTCTGTCCATCCATCCTTCCAAGGTAGATGTCCTTCTCCAAAGACTGGTCCCTTCTGGCAATATGCTCCAAGTATATCAGATAGAGTTTCAAAATCCTTGCTCCAAGGAGCAACTTGGTTTCACCCTTTTCAGGACAATCCTATTTGTTCTTTTGGCAGTCCATGGTATGTTCAATACTCTTCTCCAGCACAAAGGATTCTTCTTCTGTCATCCTTAGTCACTGTCCAGCTCTCTGATGTGTAGCAAATAATGGCAAAGACCATGGCCTGGATCAAGCACCTTAGTCTCCAGAATGATACCGTTGCTCTCCAGCGCTCTAGAGATGCCCCTGGCAGCAGATTTTCCCAATGTAACTAGGTTGGTTTGTTTTTTTTAATTTCCTGACTGCTTGTGCCAAGAGTGCTGAAGATGAAACAACTGAGCAAGTTTAAACTTTTAGTAATCTCAAATCTCTTCTCCATCGATCACAGTGCTGCCAATTGGCACAGGGGTGAGAACTGTTTGGGGTCATGATTTGGAACATTCTTGGCTTCTAGGAATCTTACACACTGGGAATGCTGTCAGGAAGAGCCAGTCCTTAGAATGGGGCAGTATGCCTGAAAAATGGAGGATCAGCAAAGAAAAGCCAGACCATTAACAACAAACGGAATGGAACAGTGACTGAAACACTGCACTTAATTAAGCACAATAGATACTGTGAAGATAGTGCACAATCAAGATTTGATGTGTGTTCACTAAGTCTCCATGAGTCAGAGTGAACCTCTAACAACAACAACAAAAGATAATTGGCTAAACAACATATTTAGTGCTTTAGTATCTGAGGTCTTAAAAACTTGCCAGCAGCCAAAATACAGCAAATGTGTTCTATTTACTTGGAACAAGTGAAAGAGGAGGAGTCAGGAATAAGTGAAAGATAGGGAATATATGGCTAATTGCCTCTATAATAACCAACTGTCTCCTTTACCAAGACACCAAAAAAGCAGGACAGAACATGGCTACCATTACTGAACATTCTGATCAA